TGGTTGTTTAATGGGTGCTTTCAATGAGTGCTTTTAATGAGTGCTTTCAATGATTGCTTTTAATGAGTGCTTCTTCTTCTTCTATATCTTAAGGGCCCACGATCAATTTATTGATCATTTTGGCTCCTATACATGTAGATGGGATTTGCAATGTTTCTGTTACTGGTGGTGATGAGGTGCTTTCAATGGGTGTTTAATGAGTGGTTTCAATGAGTGCTTTAATGAGATTTTTCAATAAGTGCCTTTAATGAGTGCTTTTAATGAGTGCTTTCAATGAGTGCTTTTAATGAGTGCTTTCAATGAATGCTTTCAATGAGTGCTTTCAATGAGTGCTTTTAATGAGTACTTATAACTTTCAATGAGTGCTTTTAATGAGTACTTTCAATGAGTGCTTATAATGAATGCTTTCAATAGGTGCTTTTAATGAGTGCTTTAATTAGTGATTCTAATGGATGCTTCATTGATTGCTTTCAGTGAGTGCTTTCAATGAGTGCTTTCAGTGGTTGTTTAATAATATGTATCACTGCATTGTGTGTAGCAATCTATATCACTGTATTGTATGTAGTTGTCTAATATCACTGTATATATGTATTATTGTATATCACTGTATGATATTTAGTAGTCTATATACCTATTTTCTGTGTAATAGGCTGCAAACTGTATTATATGTAATAGTCTATATCACTGTATCCTGGGTATTACGGTTTTATTACTGTATTCTGTGTAGCTATAATAAACCATATGATGTTTCCAGGATAATAATGGAAGGCATTTTGCGATACTTTCCATCTGCTATATTGTAAGTCTCAACATCTAACAATCCGTTGTTTACGTCGATAACTGAATCTGGATTTGTTTTGTTTTTTAATACTCATAAAAACAACAGAACATCGACAATATTCCACGACCAATTGAACCATTTGAAGGGCTCAAGGGAAAAACCAGTGATGTCAGGTTTTGAGAGTTTTGAGAAAATTGAATTTAAAGTTTGAAAATTCTTCATAAAAGTATGAAAATATCAAGATGTCTACATATTTATTTATTGAGGCTGCTTTTTCAGTTAGACCTATGTATAATATTATTTTATTAAATTGAATAACATAGAAATTTTGAAAAACTGACATCACTGGTTTTTCCCTTGAACTTGAACCCTCATTTGGAATATCAGTTTCCGATATCAGTTTCCGAATATCAGTTTCCGCGTTTCCATTAGTGCTCCACCCATAAATAGGCAGCACATCGGTATTCGGCCACTTTGCCGATAAAGGGTCATCGGGTTTTGAGACCGATTAATCGGCCTACTAAAAATACTTCATTGATAAGAGGTGTAAATCTAGATATTTTCCATAAAATGTTTCAGGTCTTATAATGGGATTTCAAAAAAATTTACTGTTAAATTTAAACTACTTGGGGGGGGGAGGACAAGTTAAGTTCAAACTGTACTTGGGCGGAGTGTCAGAGGACAAGTTACAGTCATACTGTACCAGGGGGTGGGAGGGGGGTGTCAGAGGACAAGCGAAATTCATTAGGTACCAGGGCGGTGTGTCAGGGGACAATTTAAATTCATACTGTACGGGGGGGGGGGGGGGTTTCAGGGGACAATTTAAA